TGTTCCTGAAATGAGATATTTATCTGAAGAGAAGAATGAGGATAGTAAATATGATTCTGATAATGTGGATATTGCTAGTTTTATCAGGGCTAGGAGTAGACAGGCCACTACTCAAGTTCCAAATCATAAGAGACCTACCACTAGGTTGCAAAAGAAGGAGGCTCTTGAGTTTGTTATTATCAAAAAGCCTAGAACAACAAAAGAGGAGAAGATTGGTAAAGAACGGGAAGATTGTGAATGAGAATGTAGTGCATGTTGTCAATGTTGATGATGAAGTGGATGAGGAACCTAGTTCCTTAACTCGCAAGTTCTCACAGAAGCACATTATCCCCAAGTCAAAAAGGGGGTCCTCTATGAGTACGGAGTGTTTGAAAAAAGTTGAAGGTGACAACTCTGGTGAAAAGGTAGTTGCGGAATCTGGAGAAAAAATGACAGAATAATCAGTTGAAAAAGTATCTCAGAAGAGGATGTCTGAGAAATCTGCTGAGAAAGGAAAGAGTGCTCGTAAATCAGTAAAAGGAAGGGTGATGCCAGTAAGGAACCTGGTTCCTCCAAAAAGACCAAGGTTGATGATACCCAGGATGCTCGCAAGGTAAAGTTGAAAAATCAAAAGGTGTTGTGGGACCGTACATTTTCCCCTGATATTCTGGATATGGCTGGCATGCGCCAATTGGTGAAGATCTGTGAATTTCAATAGTGGACACACCTGTTCACAAGTGACAACCCCAAAGTTTTTGAGGAAGGAGTGAGTTGTTTTTATGCCGACTTCTTTAAAGTTGAGGATGATCATATTTGTATGATGGTTAATGGTGTTGATTTTGTGATGGACTCTGGTGTGCTGGAAAATCTTTTGGGATTTCCTTATGAGGGTTTGTCTTCTATTCAGGGAAACTGCTCTTCGAACTTTAGAAATGCTATCTTGAAGGATAAGGTAGTTCAACAAGGGGAACGGGCACACAAGAAGGCCTTCCTTCCACTGTACAAACTGGTGTTTGAATTGGTGAAAAATGTTTTGCTCCCTCGTGCAGAAAGAAGGTCCATTACATCTCGAGCAGACCTGGCTCTCCTGGAAGCACTGGATGGCTAAACAACTATCAACCTGCCTGGCATCATGATATAACACATGCAGAAGGTGGCAGAGTTCAAGGATGGTAATCATGGTCTGCCTTACGGGTTCCTCCTCACTAAGATTTTTGAGTTCTTCAAAGTCCCTTTGGGAAAAGCTAAAGTGGGTACTCATAAGCAAACCTTCTCTAAGACCACCCTTGAGGAATATGAGTGCATTGATAAGGTTGGAGGGGTTGGTAGCACTTCTACTATCTCCAGTTGATCAACGCCCAAAATAGTGCCACTGATGAGATAAGGAAGTTGAAGGCAAGAAATGACATTCTTGAGGGTCAACTAAGTCAGCTTTAGGAGGCACCTGGTTCCAGCAGCTCTCACGGCACAGAGGTTGCCCGTCTGACCAAAGAAAATGCCGGCCTCAGGAAACAGGTTGAGGACCTGAAGGAAAAACTGCTCAATGAGCAGATATCAGCTAATGCTCGAATGGACATCCTTCTTAAAACCCTTGCCTCTTCATCTAAGCCTTCCCATTTTAGTGCTCCCTAGAAAGTGTTCCCTTTCCAGTGTCTGTCCCTTGTTTAGTTCTGATGATGTTTATGACTGGTACTTCTATTTTTGCCGTTTTTATTTGTGAATGTATTGGTAACAATGGAACTGCTCCTTGCTTAATATCCAAATATTAATGAAAGCTTCCTCATTTTGTTGTGTATGCCTTGCTCTTATGTTCTATTTTTAATCATGTTTGTGTGCACACATGTGGCATGAGTTAATCAAGCTAGACTTCTTTTTGCTTATTGCTTGTTGGTGTTCTTTTTATGATGCCAAAAATGGGAAAAATAATTGAGGGGGAACAGATTCAGGGGGAATACAGGTTATGTGTATGTCATTCTGGTTCTTAGGGGAAACTTCAATTATAAGTTTGTCCTCATCAAAACGAGGGAAATTGATAGGTTATATGTACCTTGTTATGTTTTGATGATCTAACAAACTTAACGACAAGAACCAGATAAGGAACCTGATATACATCCTCAAATACGTGGGAATAACAAGTGTCAAGCTGGAGATGTAAATCAACTCTTCAGAAGACAAAGAAACAACAAGGGAAATAGATAGACATCAGTTCCCCTGGTGACCGTACCTAGTCAACTCTCCAACAGCTGTAAAGTTGTTGCATGCACATGCAACAACGCAAAATAGTGCAACAGTCAACTTCATTGGGAATGCTTCTGTACAAAACATGCTTGCATCTTGATGTCACCAATGTTATATTAACATTAAACCTAAGAAAAAACATGACTTGAACATTGAAGAATCCATCAAGCACTCTCTCCAATGACCAATCAATCTGGCAAGTGATTCTCAAGAGCATCAAGAACAAAGAACAACATAACAACGGACCAGTTCCCTGTATTGAGTTATTATAAATCTTTAGTTGTGTTGCACCTTTGTTAAAGTACTTTACTTGTAATTCCTACTTAGCTTAGTTAGAAGCATTGTGTAGGAAACTTTTGTAAATCATAAATCCCTGTGTTTGTGTCTTGGTTAGAGTTAGTCGAGTTATAAGTTTTTGTAATAGATTTATTACAAAGTGGCTTGTAATAGAGTTGTTACAAGTTAGTGAGGGATTAAGAGGTTAATTCCTAGGTTACAATAGGTTGTAATCTAAAGTTTGCTCAGTAGTGAAGTTGAAATCCTACAAGGGTAGGTCGTGGTTTTTAATCCCGTGAGGTGGGAGTTTTTCACATAAAATTTCTTTGTGTTATTTACTTACTACAGTGTGCGTGTATTCTATGGGAACTAATAAAGAACCTGATTTTCTATATAATTTGATGGACCCTTAAATTCTATCATACTATATACTATGCCAAGTGCACCTAATATCATGTGATGACTTTGCTAAACGTTTGTAGTCTATGTCAACTTTACTGGATTAAATTTAAAGGTGAAAAGGATGGTGGTTACTATATAAAATTAACGGCAAAGGGCCAAATGTACCCCTGTATTTTCGAAAATGGTCTAAGAATACCCATCGTTATACTATTGGGCTATATATACCCTTCCCGTCATACTTTGAAACAAATATACCCTTATTTCGGATGGCGTGCCACGTGTCAGCACCAGATGAAAACGACCCATTTCTTTTTTTTTACCCGATCCATTTTAAAAAATCCACCGCCCAACCCGTTTTAAAATTTAGTTTTTTTAAAGCATATATTTTGTAAAAATTGAAATTTATTTTTGTAAAAACTGGAAAAAAAAAGGAATTTGCAAAATATATATTTTTAAGTCTTTTCAGTTTTTAAAGTATTATTTTTTGTAAAAACAGAAAAAAAATATTTTTTTAAAAATATTTTAAAAACTAAAAAAAAGAAATTTGCAAAATATATATTTTTAAGTCTTTTCAGTTTTTTTAAAGTATTTTTTTGTAAGTATTGTGTGCGTATAAATATTTAACAAACGAAAATGGGCAAAGTTTTTTGAAAAGAAAAAATGGCAAAGCTGTAACATGCCAATTGTCAAGTGTAAAAATTTATTTTTTTTCTGTTTTTATAAAAAAAATACTTTAAATTTTTTTAAAAAACTTAAAAATATATATTTTACAAATTTCTTTTTTTTTCCAGTTTTTACAGAATATATATTTTTTAGTTTTTAAAGCATTTTTAAAAAAATATTTTTTTTTTCAGTTTTTACAAAAATAATACTTTAAAAAAACCGAAAAGACTTAAAAATATATATTTTGCAAATTCCTTTTTTTCAGTTTTTACAAAAAAAAATTCAGTTTTTACAAAATATATGCTTTAAAAAAACTGAATTTTAAAACAGGTCGGGTGGTGGGTTTTTTAAAACGAATCAGGTAAAAAAAAAAAGAAATGGGTCGTTTTCATCTGGTGCTGACATGTGGCACTCCATCCAAAATAAGGGTATATTTGTTCCAAAGTATGACGGGAAGGGTATATATAGCCCAATAGTATAACGAGAGATATTCTTAGACCACTTTCGAAAGTACATGAATATATTTGGCCCTTTGCCGTAAAATTAAAGTCCCTGTGCTCCATCCTACATGAAAGTCAACTATTCTGAATTCAAAATGTACCTCAACTTCAATTTAAGGGTTTGTCTGAAACGATTATTGAGGAAAAAGTTGAATTCTTTTTTACATCTAATTAAATGAAAGAGAGCTAACATTGATACATATATATATATATATATATNGTGGAATAGTAAAATTCTGAGCAAGGGGAAATCAAAGTGAAGTAAGAAACAATAAAAGGTTGTGCGAATACATTTGATTTGTATCTCAACTTCTCTTATTCTTTTTCCGCTTGCAGTTCAAGTTCAAGAATCCCTTCTACAAATATCGGACTGCGGTAACTTTTGTAGAAAAAGTTACTGTCTTGTAAAGACCTTCAGCAAGTTAATGTGAGAACCTGGTTTTTAGCCTGATTTTTAGCACATGTTCATTGCGCACACTTGTTAATCATCAAAACACATAAATCAACAATTAATAAATTGAAGTAGAAAAGTTTGAGCCTATTTATTTATGTCCGCACAGGTTTTTTTCCCCTTCTTATTATAATTTGCGTTTAATCTTTTCGATCTTTTTTAGTTACTCTATGCTTCTAGTTAATTTATCTAATTTTTGCTTTCTTATCTCCTCTCCTCCCTCTTATGGCGGAGCGATGAGGTAGTATTTTTATCAAGGTGATTTTACGGCATTCTCCTAGCTCCGCCCCTGTAGGTAGATCTACCAGTATCCATGTGATATGATTACCTAATTAATTGTGTATTTAAATTGACAATTAATAAAGAACTGAAAGGAATCTGATCGTGTCATATAACTATATGCTATGTTGCTCACACTATCCATGGCATGCACTCAACTACATTTTTGAAGAGTTCGATTAATATAGACCACAGGGAACAAATAATATGGGCGTACTTACAATAAGTTGACTTGCTGGTTATATTTGATGCAACTAAAATATATGAGGAATGGTAAATTACTGAGCAAGAGAGGAAACCAAGGTGAAGAAAGAAACTATAAAAACCTGCTGGAAGGCGTCTTATTTGTATCTCAACTGCTCTTCTTTATCCCCCTTGCAGTTCAACTTCATAATAGTTTCTTTTGTCACAACGTCTGAGAAAGAGGGAGAGTAATGTCTTCAGACAAAGATTTGTTCAATCTGAAAGATGGCTTCCTTCAATTACGAGAACACGATAGCGTATGCGATGTTGTGAGGGATCGTATGAATTTCTTTGTATGGGAATTAAAAATGGTGGATAGTTTTCTCGGTTTGCAGAGCTTTCCCTTCGCTGGTGAATGCGGCATTATGCTAAATGTCACACAGAAAATGCTCAAAATTTGGAAGACATTGTATGCTACTTTGGACAACCCAAATGCAGAATCCTATTTGGAGGAGTTCATTGTTACACCCCGACGGGACGAGTTCCTTGATTCAAATACTGATCCCTTTACCTTTCACGTGCCAACAGAAATATGGAAGACTAAGCTGGAATTCATAGCTAAATACTCCTTTCCCAAAATACCTCTTTCAGTCAACAAGGTGGATGATATTATTCCTACCCCCGATTTTTTGATGGAATTTATCGATTCTGTAGAAGAAAACCTCAGTGTTCTAGTGCAGATCGACAATCCATGTTCTTTGCTTTTTGTTCCGGGACCCAAGGACCAAATAGAAGAGGTTCTAAAGGAGTTGAAGTTACTGAGATTTTTTATCCTCTTTCTTTCACACAAATGCATAGATCCTCAAAGCCAACATTCTTTCTTCACTCACGTTTTAATTGAGGCTAGCCACGCAGCACTGGTTGCATGGTTGTATCTGCAAAACCATGGCAACAAAAATCAAGACTTGGCTCCTAGTGAGATGAATGTTTCGTTTTCTGATCTCCTGAAAATGAAGACTAACGCCATTCTTCCAGGCATTCACAAGGTCTATGTTAATGTCCTGCAAGCTTTGAAGCCGACAATACAACCAGGATGGCATCCCACTAATCAAAATGAGCATGCACCTGGCAGTGTCTTTATTGTGGAGACTGTCGCGCACAGTTTGGTGGAGCTACCAACTGTTAGTAATCCTTGTCAGATAGTTGGTTTGAACGATCAAATGGAAATCCTTCGAGAGATGCGCAACCTATTAAGAGACAATCTCATCAATTTGCCAGTACTAGATCTTGAACACCATTCTCAAGATATGGGCACTGTTATTGTTGATGCCGGACTTCTAATTTACTCATTTTATGATATCAAGGGGGAGAAGGAAAACACGATGTTAGAGGATGTGAACCGAGAACTTGGTCTTGATCTTCCGAGAAACATCGAGCCTGTCAAGGCGATGTTGTACCTCATCATTCGAAAGGCATTTCAGTCTAACCTATCAAGGATTCATGGTCTAGGCTATGTTGATTTTCTTTTAAACAACCTGAAGGAGTTCCAAAGCCGCAATTCAGATCCACTCTCTTCTGTCATGAGCCAGCTTCAAATAATTCAGACGGAAATTGAGAACTTGCAACCTTTTCTCAAGGATGTTGCTGAAGAGCGATATAATAAGCATGAGGGACCTCAACAGTGGGCTACACAATTTATTGGCAAAGCATATGAGTTGGAGTATGTAACTGATGCTTTCATAAGGAAAGAAGTTCCTCATTGGTGTCTCGAGCGTTGGATCCTGGATATCAAAGAGGAGATTACTCTTATCAGGGCAGAGGTAGCAGCGATTCCAGAAAAGCAAGTGGTCGAGGTTGACTTAGTATCACATGATACCCTTGATACGTCCACTGTTCATACACTATCACAATTGTCTATGAATCGAAGTATGAATGAAGAAATTGTTGGTTTCGACGACGTGAGGGAAGAACTAAAAAACAAACTAACAAAGGGATGCCGAGAACTAGATGTTATCTCTATCCTAGGTATGCCTGGCCTAGGTAAGACGACTTTGGCCTACAAACTCTATTCTGATAATTCAGTTATCTCTCGCTTTGATATTCGTGCACAATGTTGTGTCTCTCGAGTATATAGACGTATGGATTTGCTAATGGCCCTTCTACATGATGCTATTGGTATGAGGGATAGCGTCTCTTGTGAAGCTGATGCAGCAGAAAAGCTTAGGAGAACTTTAATGGCCAAAAGATATCTTATCCTTGTTGATGATGTGTGGGAAGCTAGTGCGTGGGATGATTTAAGTTCTTGCTTCTATGATGCCAAAAATGGAAGCAGAATCATTCTAACAACTCGACATCGTGAAGTTGCCAATTATGCTACATCTGTTAGTAAACCCATACCTCTTCGCATCTTTAATGATGAAGAAAGTTGGAAATTACTTGAAGATAAAGTGTTTGGTAAAGAAAGCTGCTCCTCTACCCTGGAAAAAGTTGGCCAACAAATAGCAAAAAAGTGTGGAGGGCTGCCTCTTTCAATTGTTCTGGTGGCTGGTATTCTGGCAAAGATGGAGAAAAACGAAGAGAATTGGAAACAAGTGGCTAGGACCTTAGGTTCCCACATTCACAGCGATTCAAAGGCTATTGTAGAACAGAGTTACCAGGATTTGCCTTATCATCTTAAGGCTTGCTTCCTCTATTTTGGAGCATTTTTGGAGGATACAGTGATTGACGCTTCATGGTTAACAAGGTCATGGATATCAGAAGCATTTATAAAAAGTTGTGAAGGCAAGAGTTTGGAGGATATAGCAGAAGCTTACTTGGAGCATCTTATCGGAAGAAATCTTGTGATGGTTTCCAAGAGGGCCTATTTAGATGGTAAGGTCAAAGCATGTCGCATTCATGATGTATTGCTCGACTTCTGCAAGAAAAGAGCAACCGAGGAGAATTTTCTACTATGGATAAAATGGTATTGTTCAAAATCAATCCAAGTATTTTTAGTTATTTTTGAAAATTAATGTTATGGTTTTACTAACTTATATATTCACAATGATCAAGTATTCATGTTGTATTCGAAAATCTATGTTATGATTTTGTTAATTTATATATTCACAGGGATCAGAATGTCAATCCTTCTTCCCGTATTTATTCTTCTCGCAAGCACCATTCTCAACCTCGCTTGGCCTTTTGTGAAGTCGATAATCTTGCTGAATGGCGTTCGTCTTGCTCACTTGTTGGCTCTGTACTTTCCAGGCGTGATAACACATCCTTTTGTAAACTTGCTATTTCTGGCATTTTACAGAATTTCAAGTTTCTAAAAGTGTTGGATTTGGAGCAAGACGTTGTTATTGATTCTTTCCCAGCGAATCTAGTTCACTTGAGGTATTTCTCTGCAAAGACTAATCAAAAGTCAATTCCTTCATCCATATCCAACCTTCGGAACCTTGAAACTCTCATAATCAAAGGTCGTAAAGGAGGATATATGTCAGTACCTATTACAGTTTGGAAAATGGTTAAATTGAAACATGTGCATATTTCCGGCAGCGACGGCAACGGCTTCGTTATAGAAGCTGCAGAAGAGGACTCCACAAAACTTCATGATTTGGGAACTCTTTCCACTCCATATTTATCTTGTGTGGAGGATGCGGAATTGATGTTGAGTAAAGCACCTAATCTTAGGGAACTGAAATGCAAATTCACGGGTGATAGCAGCGGTCCATTCCCAGATTTGGATTTTCCAACACGGCTTGAGACGCTGCACATTATCGCAGTATTCTGGTACCAGATGTTTCCTGTATGCATCTCCGGATCAAATCTCAAAGACTTAACAATATTCAAATTTAGATTGGGCAATGAGAACTTATCAAGCATTGCTCAGCTTCAGAACCTTGAGGCACTACAGCTGACTTCCATACAATTTGATGATGAAAAATGGGAAGTGAGCAGTGACGAGTTCACTCAACTCAAAGTCTTGAAACTAATAGATTGTAGCAGTCTTAAAGAATGGACTGTCTCCGATGATGCATTTCCTAACCTTGAGCGCTTGGTTTTGCGTAGATGCTGGAATATTAAGGAGACACCTTCTTGTTTCGGAGACATCTTATCTCTAAAGTCCATTGAGGTAAAGTATTGCAGTGAATCTGTTGTCAAGTCGGCCAGGATTATCCGAGAAACACAAGTTGAAGAATATCAAAATGCTGATTTCAAGCTCGTCATCAAGTAATCCGAATTCAGCTACACTACTGAGAAAATATAACCATATTATGTCTCATTCTTTAGACCTTGCTTTAATTCATTTTCCTTACTTCAAAAAGGTTGCCTTTTACCAACTATTCCTTTTATTTGTCACCTTGTTTAAAGTTTATTGTTTTATTTTAGTATTATATTTTTATTAAAGATAAAAGTTCTTGATATAGAAGTTCACCATCAATTTCTTTTATATCTATGAAACAAAATCAGTTTTATGTATGTTTTGTAGCTCTAAATATTCTAGACAAAGCAATTACTACTACTTTTCGAGCTATTAACTCATTCAATTTTGTTAAACAGAGTATGAAAAGTTTGTAGCTGGAGCAATTTGGAAGATCACTATGTACTTGTTTTATTAGTTTTTTCTTTAATAAATTTTATAAGACTGTCCATCAGCTGTCCCATTAGTTGTAAACTGCATTTCAAAGTTCAACTACGGAACGAATTACTCATTCAATCCTTAACGCTTGGTGTAAGTCATTAGGTTTTGACTCCTGAAGTGAATGTTTCCACTTTGTTCTTATGAGTGATGCTACCATTGTGCTTCTTATGATTTCGCCAAAATGCTGTGATGCCACTCTGCTATAATCTTTCTTCTACATGAAGCAATTCTTTCTTTGCTCTTATGTGTACCTGTTTCTTCCTAGGAAATGCCAGTTTATGTCCTCAACTTGTGTAGTTTCCTTCTTTTAAATTATTGCTCCCTCATTTTCAATTTAGATGATGAAGTTTGACTCGGCATGGGATTTAAGAAAAAAAAAAAAAAAATTGAAACTTGTGGTTTTAAAAGCTTAAAGGGTAAAAGCTTTGTGGGGCCATGACATTTGCATAGTTATAAAATCTTCTTTAAGTGTAAAATGTGTAAAATGAAGAGTTTGAAGTTTAATTATTTTCAATTACAAAAATGTATAATTCTTTTTGGAACGAACTAATAAGGAAAGTGTGGCATTATCAAAGATAAATAGAAACAAGAAGTATAAGTTAGAATATACTATTTGTCATTGTTGTTTGATTTCTTACAAATAGAGAGAAAGCATAACTGAAAAATCAATACTACTTCTAAGATAGCAAACTTCTGCAGCTTGTAATTAGGAAATATTGTAATAAGATCATGCGCTGGAAGTAGCTGATTACTTACCCCTTTGATTATATGCTTGGAGTTCTCAAAGGAAGGTCACATGCCTTCTAGGTGAGAGAGTAAAGTTTATCTATTGGAAGTTTTCCCTGACAAGGAGAGGATCAATATTATTATCTAAGATCCAACAGTTCAAAATTTGTTCTTTTCATCATCATAATTAACATGGTCAACGGCTGATTAAACAACTGAAAGAGAATGCTACTTAATAATTAGCATGACACGGCTAATTAAATTATTGAAAGATCCCACAAAGAATAGACTCAACTACTCCCTATATATTTAGTGGTTTGAAGCTAGGAAGAATATATGAAAGATGCAAGAATCGATGAATTCCATGTTCCTTTTGTGTTTTTATGCCTTTTCCGCTTCAAAATTGACCGTCCTCCTTAATAATCACGTTTAGGGAATATTTATAGGCTAGGGTAGGAGTCTCCATATTCAAAATTGAGTAGCAAATAATTTATTCGCGGATTGGGAACCAGGCTTTAGAGCTCGCGAGGCCTGGTCTGTAGCACGGTTGAGCATGCCTTAGACCAGGCGAGGCGAGGTCTGGGGCGAGGTTGAGTACACCTTAGACCAGGCGGGGCGAGGTATCTTGCCTTGCTCCGATTTTCTCATTTTCGTGCTCTTTTCTTGTGTCTTCAACATCTTTTTATGCAAGTTTCATTCCTTTATGTATTCCAATGATCCTACACAAGCAACTCAATTAAGCTCAAACGTCGCACAATTAATCATTAAAACATTAAAATGTAAGGTACGCAATGCACTAAAAATATATATTTATAGCTGAATATCACTACCCTACACTTAACCAACTCAATATCGCAATGCACTCAGGGCTTGAACACCCAGCATCACAGAGAAGTCTAATAACGTTACATATCCCTCGTGAAACCATGTTCCCTCATAACAAAAACAAGAGAGTAGATTGAATCCACACATTCAAATCAGATGCTCAAATATATTTTAAGGACTCATGTATCAAAGAAGACCTCTCACTCTCACAAAGAAGTCACATGCATGCTATTTGTACCATATGCTTGCCGTTAATGTAAATCTCTACTAATATAGGCTCGCTCGATCTAAAATCAATTAGGACTTTTTTATGATTGTAATGTGGGCTAAGGGACGAGTATGATATATTTAGAAATAGTGGTTCACTCTCCTAAGCATTTTAACACATCATGTGATAAATTTTAAGCGCAAATTCTTCAATTCACTTCAATTTCACAAACAAGATCACACCCAAAAAATATTCTCCCTTTCTTTACGCACTACTTTAGTTCATACCCACTAGCAAGAATAAGATATTAATTTTTTCTTTTGCTACTCTTTTCTTCTCGTGCATATTTCTTTTTCTTTTTTTTTTCCAACTATTTTTTTTCTTTTCTACAATTCTAGCTAGTGGTGTAATCTTTACAAAACAAGTGCACCTTTCTTCCTTTCATTGGTTCCACTCGAAAGCTATCCAAATTCTCTCCTTACTTCTTTTAACGCTCATTTCACAATTAAAGTGCCTTAAAAGGTAAAAGGATTAAAATAATGTCAATCAAGAATAAAAGAGGGTATAGGCTTGTAATGTGAGTGCCAAATAAAAGTCTATAGGCTCAAAAGGGTTAACTAGGAATATACTTTATTTGTGATAAGCAATAAAGCTCAAAAGGATCACAGAAAGCCTAAACTCATTTTTCAAATCGAGCATCACCTAAAATTTCGCTTCGACTCACATACCGGGCAAGTTCTAGACACAAGCACAATGACATGGACTACACAAAAATCTCACTTCACACGTGGCACATGACTCACTAAGGACGGTCTCATTCTGACTCTCACGGAGCCACAAAATATTAAGCATTAAGCACAAAGTGAACAATAGACAAGTAAATGAGACATAGGTGTCAATAACATGCTATCCAATTCATAAAGGCACCATAAGCAATTTAACACATAGGGAAGATACTACATTATCTACACATGCCAAAGCATAAATATGCTACTATCAAATAAGTCGAGGGCGCCTAGGAATCTCATCATTCATCCTCCTTTTATTTCCTACATCTTACTCTACTCTTAAAAAATATTATTACCCTGTTCAAACTACATCCCATAGAAAAGAACCGAGGCACAAAGAAAAATCACTGAGGATTATTACAACCTAACGGAAACTAAAAGACATGTTTTTGTGTTTTTCTATTTTTAATTTTTTATATATTTTTGGTTAGACTTTAATCCCTCAAGAAAGCTGCCTAGGAGATCTATCGTCAGGAAATGTTCAAATTTTTCTTTGATTTTCTATATTTTTGCTTCTTTTTTCCCATTAAGCTATGTTAAAATAGAAAATAAGAAGCTAATCTTGAACTACTAAACTAAAATAAAAATAGGAAGCTAGCAATTAATCTACTATTTACATACCACAAAGGATTCTCCCCCCCNCAGTGTCTTCAATGCATATAAACGTAATTAAAATTCAGAAGGGTGGTAAGAAAACTTCCTGGTCACTCCTCGTCTTCCTCCTCATCAGCTCAACATGTGGTCATAATGACCCCACACATAAAATTTCAGCGCATGGCCCTTCCATTAAATCAAGGTTACTTAGACTTTACCTTGCACAATTTAAGCACGCTAGCATCATCCAATCAACTATTGCATGCAAGCACAACGTAATCACCATACTTTTAACAATATACCCGGCTCCGGTGAGCCACCCCACACTTAAAATCTTATGTTAATCACGCTCATAACCCACTAGTGTATCTATCTAGAGACTCGGGCTCCAATTGGGGGAAAATTTCATTTGAGTCATTTTAATAAATACATAGCGCGTACTAGTTGTGTAAGCTTTTGTGTGGGTGAGAGATTGCCTCACTCTCCCAAATCAGCTTGGGATTTGAATGTACGCACTCATATAATCAATAATCACATTCCTATGGGTTCATGGGGTTGTGTGTGCTTGTGCGGGAAGGGTGAGATAAAGATAAAAGAAGAGAGAAGAGAAGACTTACTCGGGCATCGCGAGCTAGGACGAGAGGCTTCCCGCGCAACTATGGGTAGGGGTGGTGTGGTGCATGGTGCGAGGTGTCACGCGAGCTGGAGCTCATGCCTAGGCAAGCGCCACCAGGTGTAACGCGAGGTCCCTCACTCGCTAGGCACTGTCTGGGACATGCACACGTGAGTTTTCAACCCGTTTTTGACTCCTTTATGCATTTTGACCTCCCGATCTCGCTCTCGTACCTATTCAAACACCAAAAATCAACCCATTAGTACCCAGAAGCAAAAAAGAAAAACTCAAATTAAACTAAACTAATCTATAAATTGAGTTGCCTCCCAACAAGCGCCTTATTTAACTTCATGGAATGACATTTAATAAATTACCATGGGTTGCCTCCCATGAACCGCCTGATTTAATTTCGCGGCATGATATGAACCACTTGCTTAGGTTGGACAATTTTGTTTCCTCCTCTTTGATCCACGTCCAATCCGCACTTTATAATGAGTGGAAACGGTCGTTCGAAGAATAGTACCCAACAAGAGTCAGGGCCGATTTCTACAGGGAGTTACTAGGGGTGTTAGGAGTATACACATGACGAAAGCGAATGGAATAACTAAATTGAACTTCCACAGAAAGTTAGGATTTCTAATTCTAATTTCACTTTAACAATTATAAAGTAAGAAAAGAAACTAGAAGCGAATCGATATTTTTGGTGTTTTTCCAAATAATTAAAAAGCCTAGGGACGTGACCATAACCTAGGTGTCCGCCTAATGGGTTAAATATGTTAATATTTATTTTATTTATTGGAGTGTATTATAGCTCTCAACTCTACGTTACCCACTCAATACCTCTCGGTCAAAGAGTGATTTTTCTCAATTTGGCTTTCTCAAACCCAAATGAGTATCAAACATAATAGTTGATATGAGCTCAAGTCGGGTTCTTACTATCTCTAG